GTTGCGGCCCCAGATTCAGGATGAATAGAGTTGAGGGTTGGACGAGGTCATCCCACTTTAGCCCCTCCCTCTCCCTCCAGTCCTTCTCCCGTTTGACCCTCTTCTCCGCCTTGGCATCCAATTTTACCTCCCAAGACTTGGTGGGGACTTTCCAAATTGTACGTGCCCCTATTCCGCTGTTTACCGACACAAAAAACCACTTTGGCCACCAGCCCTTCACCCATGACGAAAGTCCCGCCACCAATCCCTTTCCTGCTATGGCTTGTAGAGTCACTCATGTCTCTTGTTGCCCTGATGCCTTGTAGTAGGAGAAAAACTCATCCACCGTCATCATCTGCCCCTCGGTCGCCCGCGGCTATGCGATTACACAGGCGAACAGAATCTTCCACGCGTTCGGCATCAGTTGTCCTGAGGCCACCTCCAGGCGGTTTAACACGTCCACTACTAGCTGTGGGAGGGGTAACCTTAGGCCCCCACGTAACGCCTTCTCATACAATGCGAACTCCATCTGTCACGTATCTGACGCCCTCTCCTTCGTCGTTGGCAACCTCAACTCTATGTCGGTCGAAATCTGATATCTGCTGCGTAACTTCTCCAAATCCTCTACCGTTAGAGTGGATTTGTCCGCTTTCGTATGCCAGTGGCTCGGCGCCACTTGGCTAATCAAATGTACCGCCAAGATCATTGTCGACCCCAGGGGCTGCGCCGGCCACTCCGCCGCCCTTTCCACCCGCTTTTCCACCCTATACTGCTTCGCCAACTCCACTCCATCATTCTCTCATAATACATCCATTCCCATGGCTGGCACTTTGTATTGTGCTATCTCCTTCATGTTTCTAATTATTGTTTCGGTTGCGGGGGCAAGATAGTTTGCGATATGCCAAATGGGCGAATCTCTTGCTATAAAGGAACTTAAGTCTGGAATGTGTTGGTTTTTTGCAATAAGGTAGGTAAAATGCACAAGTCCAAAAGCCTAGGGTTTGTCTATTTCCCAAGGATCGCAGTTAAAATTCGTCAGTTTAAAAATTCGAACAAAAATACCAACCCTGCCTTTTCCACATCCCAACTTACCAACCCCCTGACCTCCTACAGACCATCCGTCTCCTTCATCAGTGGCCCTTGTTGTGCCACGTGTACGGCCACGATCCTTTCCTCGCCCACTAGTTCTCTTTCCTTTTTCCCGTCTATTTTACTTCACATCATCACGTGCTTTTTCCTTCCTTGAACCCTGCTCGCTATCAATCTTAACACACTCAGCCCAACCCACGGTCGGCTAGCCTGACGGTATCCTTTCGCACTTAGCCCAATCCACGATCGACCAGCTTGATGGTCTTCTCTTACGCTCAGCCTAATCCACGGTCGGCCCACTTGACGGTCTCTTCTCACACTCAGACCAACCTACGGTCGGCCAGCCTGACGGTCGCCTCTCACGCTCAGCCAAATCCACGGTCGGCCCGCCTGACGGTCTCCCCTCATGTTCTGCCCACCTCGCGATCAACCAGCCCGACAATTTTTTCTTCACGCTCGGTCCAGCTCGCGGTCGGCTAGCCCGACGGTTTTCTCTCCCGATTAGGCCCCCTCACGGTCGGCCAGCCTGACGGTCTTCCCTCCCAATTGGTCGACCTTGCGGTCGGCCAACCTGACGATTGACCACTCTAGCCCACGCACCCCTACCAAGCCTCGGGGGACTCCCTTCACACTTTTATTCCCTTCGTTGAACTAAAGCTGCACTCGGGAATAGGGGACTACTGATACTAATGGGCATCCAAGAGGGCCCATCCCACGGATCAGGGGCCCAGTTCATATCTCAGTGATCAAAGCCCAACAACTCTGACAAATCAACACTAGGCCCAAGCCAACAACATTCAAACACTTGCCAAACAAAAGCTTAGCCACGTAGGCAGACAAAGATCCTGCAAAGTTATTGCACCCACACATCAGCCATTAATGAGGCTCTCACAGTATTAAATACGACAACCCTTTCACGTCGGAGGAGGCAGACACACTATGAACGATGCGAGTTAGAATGTAGACTTTCGGCCAATACGACAGCCTGGAATGGACAGGGAAATGATGAGAAAATGATATAAGGCAGTTTCCGAAATAGGTAAAAGGTTAAGTTCTTCGTTCCCCTCTTCTTTCTCGATACAGTCAATCTAATTCTAATTGGATCGTTGGAGGGTCCGTCGGGGGATTACCTCCCCCTTTGGACCTTTTTGCAAGCACCTCTTGTGGGCTTCAAGACTAGTAAAGCCGTTAGAAGTGTGGATCAACCGTGGCCCATCTTCCGTTGGAATTACTACATCATCATAAATCTATATCAGCAACAATAGCAATACAAAAGGTTTGAGATCTTTTGTCTTCCAAACAGACACAAAGATATAGCCACCAATTGGATCAATGAGATATTAAGCATGCAAAAGACTTTGCAATGCTCAATGTATCAATTGCCACCAATATAATTAAATACCGGCTGAGTCTCCAAAAGTTAGGTACAATATACAAGTTATATATTGCAATTAACTCTAAACTGAAGTCTTAAACTTTGAAAACATAAGATTCTCAAACTTTGAAAACTATACGTTAGAAAATGTTCAAGTAGTGTTGGTCTTATGTTTATAAATATGGCTAGATAGTGATGGAGATGTGGCAAAATGAGTGTCAGACGTGTCCAAAAAAAAGAGTATCAAACACGTGTCCGGGAGTGTCGGTGTCTGACACGTGTTTGACATTTAATACGTCACTTTCTTTGAAGTATCCGTGCATTTAGTGTGAAATTATGTACTTATTGGGAATGTATCAACATTTATAAAGGTTTTTGTTTTTTTCAAAAGTTTTCAAATTCTTTTAGCATTTCCCTTTTGTTTTCAAAATGTTTATGAAACCTTTCCATTTCCAAGGTACCAAAACAAACTATTAAATGAAATTTTGATCCTTGTGCACATGGCGAAATGAGGTAGGTGCTGTCACGTCACCATGCTATGACAGCAAAACGGGATAGTTTAATTTATTTATAAAAAAAAAAAAAAAAATTGAGTGAGGCAAATATGGTAACAATCAATTAAATCATGATGATACAATCCAAAATCAGGTCTTTATTGACCGAATTAAATCGATTTGACTCTTAATTTTATTTTATCCCTGTGAGTACGAAACGGGGTGCTGTGACAGCAAAACGGGGTCGTTTAATTTATTTAAAAAAAAAAAAAAAAAATTTATTTTTTTTAAAAAAAAAAAACCTATGACAGCAAAACGGGGTAGTTTAATTTATTTATAAAAAAAAAATTCGATCACACACGGCGCCTCCCTTTGCTGTAGAACAACATGTAGTTTAGGTTGACTTTAGTAAAAGCTTTAAAAAAAATTATAAAAAAATAAATAAATAAAGTTTGAATCACACGCAAGTTACTGTAACTATATATTTTTTATTTTGTCCCAATTTAATTCAATTCATTATAATTGTTTTTTTTTTTTATGAAAAATATGCATATGAGCGATATGTATCACGTAATGACAAATTTCATTAATTTACTGAGTTAACATCAACCAACTTAGAAATTATTTTTTGTCAGTGACGGAATTAAGAGAAGACCATGGAGGGTCATGGCCCCCTATTTCTATGAAAAATATTGTTTGTCATAACACTTTAAAAATATATATATTAATTTATACATAAAATGACCCCCCAATATAAAAAATATATATCTCATTCTTCTCCCAACTTGTATTATCTTTCTATTTTGCACCAAAAAAACTTATTCATCTAATTAGAGATTGCTTCTACGGTATTTAATTTTTTTTCTATGTATATATAATTAATATATCATATTCTATATACATGTGTGTTTGTGTATATGGTGAAAAAAAATTATGAGTTAGGATTGGCGATGGAGGTTGATGATGAATCACTATGACAATGGTGAAAAAACCTTCTTCGTAGATATTAAGGGCTTGTTTGGTTTGTATTTGTATGAAAACTTGTTTGGTTTACCTTATTTTTATAAAACTACGCTACAAATACAAACCAAACAAGCTCTTAATATCTACGAAGAAGGTTTTTTCACCATTGTCATAGTGATTCATCATCAACCTTCATCGCCAATCCTAACTCATAATTGGATGCATAAGTTTTTTTGGTGCAAAATAGAAAGACAATACGAGTTGGGAGAAGAATGAGATATATATTTTTTATATTGGGAGGTCATTTTATGTATAAATTAATATATATATTTTTAAAGTGTTATGACAAACAATATTTTTCATAGAAATAGGGGGCCATGACCCTCCATGGTCTTCTTTTAATTCCGTTACTGACAAAAAATAATTTCTAAGTTAGTTGATGTTAACTCAGTAAATTAATGAAATTTGTCATTACGTGATACATATCGCTCATATGCATATTTTTCATAAAAAAAAAATAATTATAATGAATTGAATTAAATTGGGACAAAATAAAAAATATATAATTACAGTAGCTTGCGTGTGATTCAAACTTTATTTATTTATTTTTTTATAATTTTTTTTAAAGCTTTTACTAAAGTCAACCTAAACTACATGTTGTTCTACAGCAAAGGGAGGCGCCGTGTGTGATCGAATTTTTTTTTAATAAATAAATTAAACTACCCCGTTTTGCTGTCATATTTTTTTTTTTTTTAAAAAAAATAAATTAAACGACCCCGTTTTACTGTCACAGCACCCCGTTTCGTACTCACAGGAATAAAATAAAATTAAGAGTCAAATCGATTTAATTCGGTCAATAAAGACCTGATTTTGGATTGTATCATCATGATTTAATTGATTGTTACCATATTTACCTCACTCACAATTAACATCTCTTATTTAGGCAACCAAAGTCACATTAAAGCTTTCTTGATTGTAATACACCCGAAAGCGTCTCGTGTAATACTCTCATGCCCCTAAAATGGTAACCTATACTTTGAGCACTATAAATACCATCGAGTGTGTTTTGAAAAGGAAAAAAACACAGTAAATCACCAAAAATGACAGGAAATAAGATTAAACTTGAATGGATAGTCAATGACTCTTCAAGGAAATCCACTCTTAAAAGAAGAAGGGCTGGCATATTCAAGAAAGCCGGAGACCTGTCCACCCTATGCGATGTGGAAATTGGTGTTCTTGTTTACAGTCAAGACGAAGACGATCTTGCAGTTTGGCCATCTTACGGGCACATGAAACAAATGTTTGAAAGGTTCCTCAGTATCCCAATAGTAGAACGAAGCGAGAAAATGACGACATATGAAGGCTTGCTCACACAAAGGGTCACGCAGGAGACCCATAAGAACAATATGGAAAAGAAAAATAATGATAAGAAAGAAATTCAAGAAATCATGAATCAAATCTTTGAAGGTAGCAATCTATATCAACTTGACATAATGAGACTAAATTATTTGTCATTGTTAACAGGTGATAAGCTGATGCAGCTTGAGGAAAGAGAGAGAGCACGCAGACAGCATGCTCTTCCTCTATCGCCAGCTCTCGCTCCTGCTCCTCGTCCGAGAATGATTGAAGTGGACGAAGCGTTCCAAGCTCACACTAGTACTGAAGCAACATGCATAGAGCAGTTGATGAATGACAACTGGTTCATAGAAACAATGGCTCTTAATCAGGACATGCCGGGTCCAAGTGGGGTGAGTGATATGGGGATGCCATCAGGGTCTGTTGTCGACAGAATGAATGGTGATAATGAAGAGGATTTGCCAGAGGACCTCAATGCATTCTTTCCTCACATTTACTCCCCTTAAAATGCTTTGTTCTTCAATCATCCAAAAATAAAATATGCATCTCAGTAAGAAGAAAATTTAGTGCATCTTGTATGCAATTTTATTTTATTTTTTCTTTTTACTTTCTTATAATGTTTTTTAAGTTTTATCTTTTGGTATCTATGTAATGAATTATATCAAAGGCTTCTTTTAGTTCAGTGTTGGAGCAACCAAGATTCACCACCAACCCTAAAATGGGGCCTATATACATACCACTCAAAAGATCAAATCAACTAAAAAAAAAAAAAATATTACAAAAAATTAAAAAGGTAAAGTTTAGAGTGCGTTATATTTTAACCGTATACAAGAAACAATACCAAATAAAAGTTTAGAGCAGTAATATTAAAAATAAAAAAATTAAACCAACTACACTACAGTATCACTTAAGCATTATGCTTACATTTTTAGTTGCAAAATTAAACCAAGAGCTCTTACTTGAGATTGAAATAATTATTCCTTTTTTTCTTCTTTTTTCACATCTATACAAATACTTTCTAAGAAATATGAAAAGATAAACAATCCGATCCACAATTCAACAAACAACAATCCACAATGCAACAAAATTTTCATTTCTTTTTTCTGAATTATAAGAAGGATCTTGATTGGTTGTCATCCTACCATATACAACGAAAATTAATTGTAAAATCTTAAATTAAACAACCAAATTGCCATAATCTTTTGCAAGATTGATTTGACCAAATTTTACAATGTAGTAGATTCTCTATATCACATTTCAAATTCTTCCCTTATAAAGACATACATTATTCATATTTTCTTTTTTTTTTGATCAGCCGTTATTCATATTTTCCTATTCACACTATATACACCACAAAAGTTTTAGAGCAATAGACACAATAAAATTTTAAGCATCACAATAAGAAAGATGAACTTGCAAGGATAGTCAAGGAAAGTGCAAGAAAAGCCACTCAAATTAACGGGTTGTCCACACTATAGGGCCAGCCTTGGCCCAAGAGGAAGAAGGCAATGGAGGGCCCAAAACTTTTTAATTCTTATTGTATTGGTACGTCCAAAAATAAAAGCCCAATCCAACTAATACACATTAACAATCCAAACTAAAGGTCCAAAAAATTAACTCTTTTATTATTAGTTGGTCCAAAAATAAAGGCCCAATTCAACTAATCCAAGTTCACAATTAAACTAAAGGTCCTTACAAATTATACATAACCTTTAATAATTTGCACCTAAAAATGCCAGAAGAGCAATATTTAACTAATACTTTAGGCTTAATTTCGATTTGGTATTATAATTTTTGATTTTGTTATTATTATTTTTATTTGGATAGATTGGTGATGTTTTTTCTTATTGTCAATTAAATTTTGCTAAATTATACAGAAAACAAGACTAAATTTTTTATCTTTTTGAGCTTTGTAATGATTTTCTTCATGTCTAAATTTGTATAAGTAAATTTTAGTGATTATATATGCAAACATAGTTTGTGTGGGTACTAACAATATATATATATATATATATATATTTGGTAATTATGTGTACAATAATACTACATGTCTAGAAATTTTTTATAGAAGCATCATACCAACTTCAAATCTATATTATACACCTTCTTTTCATGATATTTTTTGGGATAAATTTTTGGAATAGATGGTAATGTTTTTTTAGTCTATAAAGGGCCTCATTTTTAAAATTTCGCCTAAAGCCCTGAACAACTCAAGGTTGGCCCTGCCATACTATGTTTTGTGGGTGCAGGCACTATTGTTCATCTTCCGAGGGAAGTTGATCCAAGGGTTTGGCCATCTCACAAAGAAATGGAACGAATGCTCACAACGTTCCCAAGCATGCCAAAGATGGGACAAAGCAAGTAATAACAATAAGTAAGATGTGTAAGAATAATGAACCAACCTAAGAAGTACGGATACTTTCAAAAAGAAAAGTGTCATGTTGGACACTTATGTCGAATATTGACACTCATCGAACACTTTTAAAAACATGTCCAACACTACTACGTGTCTTGATTAAAAATCATATTCATAATATTGGACACTTTATAGACACTTCGGGGATATTTCAACAGCAACACTTCTTGAACTCTCTAAATATGTCCTATGTGATGATTTCTTCATAATAACAATGTTTTACATTTTTCAAAACACAATGTATGCACTCTAACTATGTTTTAGAACATTTATATGATAAATAAATATAACATGTGTATTACAATGTTCTGTAATTATTTTGTATTATTTAGAATGTAATTTTTACATAAATGATATCTTGATATTCAAGATATGAAATATATAATTTTTAATGTAATTAGTGTATGTTACATATAATAAATATATAAAATTATAAAATTTTAATTTGTCCCAAGCGTGTGGTGTCCTGCACTTTTTGAAAATCAATGTGTCGACTTGTCCATGTCGTATGTCTGTATTTGTGTTACTTGGGAATCAAGTTTTTTAAACTAATAATATATACGTACTTGAAACGAAGAAACTAATTGATGTGCATTTTTATTGGTAATTGATAAGTTTAGAAACTTCAAAAAAGGAAGAAAATATTCCTTAACAAGTTCTTTCTATTTCACTAGCACCACCCTTCTCCTCCCACTGTCACTAGCTCTACCACCACTCTAAGGAGAATAAATACCATATTGTTTAAGAAAGTTGAGGAGTCATCCATGTCATGTAACGTGGGTGCATGAACTATTGCTTGCAACCCACGGGAAGTGAATTCGCGCGTTTCGCAATCTCACAAATAAGTGGAACCAATGCTCAAAAGTTTTCTAAGCAAACTGAAGATGGAATGTAGCAAGAAGACCCCATACTTTTTGGGTCATTCAGTTCAGTTAATATGAATCATGTATAAGTCAGCATTTGTAGTGATTTCTATTTTGGTGTTACTTTACTAATTCTATGTAATAAAAGATCATTGAAGGTTTCGTTTAGCTCAAATAATGTAACAAGAATAAAGGCATAAACTCTAAGGTTATAACAACTATTAATGCAATGGGAAAAACTTCCTGATCAACACAATTATGACACATTTTCTTCAAGTATCTTGATGGATCAAGAATAGCACAAGGCAAGCTATTGAATGGACTCATCTGAAAGTTTAACGTGGACATTTTTTTAATCTTTTATTTAACTCCATCTAACTGAATAAAAAAGTATGTAAAATAATAATTAAGGCTAATATCTTTTTTTCATTTAAGATATGTATTTTTTGTTACCTATTTTAGAGTCAATCTAATAAAAAATATATAGTAATAAAGTACAATTTTTTTAATTAGAAAAATGCAATTGAATTAAATTCAAACATTCTATGAATAATTTCATATAGTAGAAATAAATTTTATAAAATTCAACTTATGAGAAAAATTTTAATCTCTTTATACACTTGCTAAGTTATTTTTAACTAAAAGTAAAAGTTTTTACATTAAATATCAATCAGACACAAATCAAAATAACACCATACAACAACACGAAAATAAATAAATTGAACTAATTTTAAAGTAATTATGAAATAATACGACATGATACACTCCCCTAATTAGGGGCCTAAATTTTGTTCAAAATTAGGGGGCCCGAGGTGACCGCCTTAGTGGCCTCACCTCAGGGCCGGCCCTGGGATCAAGAATAGCACAAGGCGAGCCATTGAATGGACTCATCTGAAAGTTTAACGTGGAGATAAATTTCACAATCTGAAGTCAAAAATCAGTACATGTAGTTTGCATCTTCAAAAAAGATAAATACTTAGTATCAAACACTTGCCCTTTCAAGATCACAAATGTAGTGAACTTCAATATTAACTAGTTTTCATTTTGAAATAAGATATTTCCAAATTTCACAAGACACATATATTAAAACAAATATTTCAAAATAAATAAATTTGGCACCACTCATTTAGGCACAAACTCCATCATAAAAAAACAAGCTGATTCTGATTAAAAAATGATTCCAAAGCATAATTTTACATGAATATAGCAAATTAATGTTACCAGCAAATTTATAGTTGATAGTATTGGACAACTATGAGCAAAAAGAAACTCGTAGAACTTTAATTAGCATGACCCATCACTTCTACCAAACAAATCTAACTATATAGCAATGGATAAAAATAACAAGTAATGCATGAAAAACTAGCATATTCCCGACTTGGGCTTTTGGACTTGTGCATTTTACCTACCTTATTGCAAAAAACTAGCATATTCTCGACTTAAGTTCTTTCATCACGGGAGATTCGCCCATCTAGCATATCGCAAACTGTCTTGCCTTTATAACCGAAGCAATAGTTAAAAACGTGAAGGAGATGACACAATACAAAGCACCAGCCATGGGAGTGGATGCATTAGGAGAGGATGATGGGGTGGAGTTGGTGGAGCAGTATAGGGCGAAAAGGCAGGTGGAGAGGGCGGGGAAGCGACCAGCGCGGTCCCTAGGGTCGACAATGATCTCGACGGTGCAACCGATTAGCCAAATGGCACCGGACCACTGGCATACGAAGGTGGACAAATCCACTCTAACGATAGAGGATCTGGAAGAGTTGCGCAGCAGATATCAGATTCCGGTCGACATAGAGTTGAGGTTACCGACGACGAAGGAGAGGGTATCAGATGCGCAACCGATGGAGTTCGCATTGTATGACGAGGCGTTGCATGGGGGCCTATGGTTGCCCATCCCACAGCTAGTGATGGACGTGTTAAACCGTCTGGAGGTGGCCCTAGGGTAGCTGATGCTGAACGCGTGGAAGAATTTGTTCGCCTATGTAATTGCGTGGCCGCGGGCAACCGGGGGGGAGATGATGATGGTGGATGAGTTTTTCTCCTGCTACAAGGTGTCAGGGCAACAAGAGACATGGGTGACTCTACAAGCCGTAGCAGGAAGGGGATTGGTGGTGGGACTCCCGTCATTGGTGAAGGGCTGGCGGCCAAAGTGGTTTTTTGTGTCGGCGAGCGGCGTAAGAGAGGTGGATACAATTTGGAAAGTCCCCACCAAGTCTTAGGA